GACGTGAGTCACTGTGCCTGGCCTGTGTTTTGAGACAGGGTCTTGCTCTGTCACCCAGGCTGGAGTGCAGTGGTGTGATCACAGCTTGCTGCAGCCTCAACCTCCTGAGTTCAAACAATCCTCCTTCATATCACAGTGGCCCCACTTGTAGCTACCCTCTGCATACACTAAGGGCCGATGGACTGGGACACCTGCCCCACCAGCCTTCTTGCCAGCCTTCTTGACATGGACTAGAATTGCCTGCAGAACCTGACAAGGTTGGATATGGATCTAGGTGCGTGCAAGGCTCATGTTAAGCCCTACGCCAAGAAGGACACCAGTGTTCCTGGGCTGGGATGATAAAAGGAGATTTGGGCAGTAGATGAGATGAATTGCAGCAATGTGCAAACCCCACCAGACTGGTGAGGGCAAGGGCAGCTCCATCAGCCTAGCTAAGGACAAGAAAGCCCAGATACTGGACTGAGTTCACTGCAACCGCAGTTACAGAGAGAGGGCCCCTTTCAAGCACAGCTCTAGGAGAAAAGTCTCTCCAAGCTCATGTTAGCCACATGCTGTTCTGCTACTGCCCTTCCAATGGCCAGAAGGGAGTGGAACACAAGAAAAGAGCACAGATGCCTGATCCTGATCTCAGGTTTAAGCTCTTGGGACAAACATATTCTCAAGTGTTTTCTGGAAGCAGTGGTAGAGACGGCCACAGCAGGCAAGATACATCACCACATCAACAAGCATGTGCTCCTGGAGAGAGGCCAACAATTCAGCTCCCACAACAAAAATAGCCTCTCATCTCTGCAGCCCAGAACAAGCCTGGCAGGCCTGTCAGCCAGGACAAACCTCAGTCCTGCAGGGTCTTCCCTTCCCTTCCTCCCAGAGGCAGGCAAATCAGAGCACCACAGGGAAAGATTTCTAGAGCTGAAAGAAAGAGCAATAAGCCTGCAAAAACTGCACAATCCCTCTCAGCAACAGCTGGAAACAGTATTGCACACTTCAGTATTAAGTAGGACCACACTGGGGAAAAGCTTTTTTTTTTTTCTTTTTTTTTGAATTTCAAAATCTGAGTAAATCTGAGATCAGAAAGCCTACAGACAAATGTTAGAGCTAGAAGGATCCTTAGAGATCTAGTGCAACGTTCTCATTAAAAAACCAAAACAGGGCCGGGTGCGGTGGCTCACGCCTGTAATCCCAGCACTTAGGGAGCCCGAGACAGGCGGATCATGAGGTCAAGAGATCGAGACCATCCTGGCTAACATGGTGAAACCCCGTCTCTACTAAACAAAATGCAAATAATTAGCCAGGCATGGCGCCTGTAATCCCAGCTACTCAGGAGGCTGAGGCAGGAGAATGGCGTGAACCCAGGAGGCGGAGCTTGCAGTGAGCCAAGATTGCACCACTGCACTCCAGCCTGGGTGACAGAGCGAGACTCCGTTTCAAACAAACAAACAAACAAACAAAAACAAAATATTATTCATTCTCTTGAATTATAATACCCACATGGAAAAGAATGTGTATGTGTGTGTATTTACAGAGAAGAGGTTAAGTCCCTCAATATGGTTTTTAGTTAAGTGACAGACCCAAGGCTGGAACTCAGACTCCTTTCTCAGGCTAAGATACCTTTAAAGAAAAATTATTCTGAAAACATTTGCTCATTGTAAAAATGCAAGCAATACAGAGGTGTGTATAAAGAGTAAAGGCCCCCTGCTCCCATTTACTATTGCCAGCAGCTTGGTGTGCACGTATCTCCCCAACTCTTTTCCTGTATACACAGACCTAAGAAAAAAAGAAAAAAGAAAAAAAGGAATGCCAGGAGTGGTGGCTCATGCCTGTAAGCTCAACACTTTGGGAGGCCCAAGCCAGGAGGATCCTTGAGGCCAGAAGTTTGACACCAGCCTAAGCAACATAGCAGAACGCCGTGTCTAAGAAAAAAAAAAAGAAAAAAAATTAAAAATTAGCTGGACGTGGTGGCTCACGCCTATAATCCCAGCACTTTGGGAGGCCAAGGCAGGCGAATCAGTTGAGGACAGGAGTTTGAGACCAGCCTGGCTAACATGGTGAAACCCCATCTCTGCTAAAAATACAAAAATTAGCTGGGTGTGGTGGTGTACGCCTGTAATTCCAGCTACTTGGGAGGCTGAGACAGAAGAATCGCTTGACCCCGGGAGGTGGAGGTTGCAGTGAGCCAAGATTGCACCACTGCACTCCAGCTGGCGTGAAAAATAAAAACAAATTCGTTGGGCATGGTGGCATGCACCTATAGTCTCAGCTACTTGGGAGGCTGGGGCAGGGGTCAGGGGGAGGTGTCCCTCGAGCCCAGGAGTTTGAGGCTGTAGTAAGCTGTAACAGCACCACTGCACTCCAGCCTGGAGCAAGAACTTTCTCAAAAAAATAAATAAATAAATAAAAAAGGAAAATAAGATCATGCTATATTCATTCTGAAACTTGCTTTGCCTTTAAGGAAGATCCATGTATATTTCCATATCATTATGAGGCACCATACTTCAACCATTGTTAAATATGGATATCATATCCAGTTTCTGGACATCGCACACAATATTGCAGTGACCATCGTGC